GGGCTGTGGTTTCAGAGTCCCCAGGGAATGAGTTTGGGGTCTCCACTGTCAGCAAAGGTCTTCCCACGCTGGTGCTCCTGTGCATCCTGTCCTCTTCCCCTTCCGTGCCCCGGGGGTCCCAGGCCCCTAGGACTTGGCAGGTCTGGGCCCAGAGCTTCCCACAGCCTTCTCTCCACAGTCTGGGCACCGAGCACAGCTTCCGGATCTACTTCTCCAAGCAGGAGGAGGCCAGGAAAGTACTGAGGTAATTCCTAGACAGCAGGAGCAAGTGGGGAGAGGCGGTCTCCCTGTGGTGGTCTCCCTGCTGGCTTCTTTATTGAGCCCCCCCACCCCACCCCTTCCTTCAGAAACTCCACGTCTGCTGGCTCCTCTGTCCTCCAGGGCCCCACTAGCCCTTGGATAGGACTTTGACAGTGCCCGTGTGCCCAGGAGCCGCATCCTGGCTGTAAAGCTGGGTCAATGATGGAGTTGCCAACAGTAGCAGACTCTGGAGCCACCGGGGGTGGAGGGGCCAGGGGGGAGGACATCCCAGCTCCACCACTTACCAGCTGGGTGGCTTTGCACAAGTCAGTGAACATCTCTGTGCCCCAGTTCCCTAGTTGTGAAATGGGGATAAGGGGGTGGTGATAGACAGACCCCTTGGGAATTAAACGAGTGTTGGATGGGTTGCTACTCCCACCACTGACACCCCTGGGCTCTGGCCTTTTCTCAGCCTCACGTCTTGCAGTCAGTTCCTCACCAGGTGTTAGCTCAGCTGGGGCCCAGGCCTCCTAAGGGGTCTGCCCCTGGCCAGGCAGCCTCCAGCCCCCTGGGCCGCAGAAGCCAGAGAGGTCATCCCCACCCCCATGAATAGGCCTCTCCTCCGCTCTCAGCTTTTCACTGGCTCCATCAGGGTCGATCACTGCATGTTCATCCAGCACTCAATCCGGCATCTCCTCCTCCTCCTCCTCCTCCTCCTCCTCCTCCTCCTCCGCCTCCTCCTCCTCCTCCTCCTCCTCCACACACACACACACCCCACACCCCCACCCCCGCCATGGGATTCTGCTGGGCTCTCTTCTCAGTGGTGGGAGACGGTGGTCTGAGGAGAGCCCCCAGGCCCTCCAACCTCTCATAGAGGGGGTTGGCCATCGGTGGCCAGCGTGTGAGCTTGGGTCAGGCAGTGTCCCCATCTGCAAGGGATGCTCACTGCGAGGCATGGACAAGACCCCGCCTGTGCCCGCAGGGCCACCCCACGCCTAGCCCACCGGCCCAGCTCCCGGGTGGCTTCTTCCTCACACGGAGACAGGGTGCCCCGGGGGCAGGAAAGTACCCCTGTGGGCTCTTCTTCGGCACTGTCCAGGCCTTTATACTTCATGAGGCCCCCCCACACCGCAGAGCCCTGCCCTCAGGGGCCCCACCACAGCATGCCCTTGCCCTCTGCTCTCAGGCTAAACGGATGCAGCGTCCTGCCGGAGCATGTACCCAGACTGGCCAGTGGCCTCAGCCAGGCCCCCCAGCTGACAGAGCTCACGTGAGTAACGGCCCAACCTGGGGGGAGAGCCGGGGGAGGGGGCACGTGCGGCTCTGCCAGAGCCACTTGCATACTGACTTCTGTCCCCAGACTGACCAGATGTGGCCTGGACCTGGGGCAGCTGACCGTCCTCCTGAGCCTGGTGCGGCGGCCAGCAGGGCTGCTCTGCCTCCAGTACGGGATCCTTTTCTGCTTCCTCCCTCCCTGGGGGAGGGGTGGTATGCATGGGGGGGGTGGGGGGACAAGGCCCTGGAGTAAGGTCCTGCCCCCAGGGCCTCCCTGAGGCCCAGAGAAGCCATCCCTTCCCTCTCCAGAACGGGCCTGGCCTGGGGGGCTGACACAAGTCGCATCCTGAAACCTTCAGCAAAACACCTCCCCCAGAGACGCTGCTACCCCAGAGTACAGAAAATCCGGTTTCAAACTCAGATGTCCGCCCCTTCGCTCCAACCACGCTAATACTTTGCCGTGTTTGCGTGGGCACGTTCTAGACCCCGTGCCCGCTGGCTCCCAAGTAGGTCAGTCATCGTGACTCTTTAAGACCAAAGGACACCCCCGCTGTCACCGTGATTAAAACACACGGCGATTCCTTAATGTCTCGGGTTCCTCGATCCACTCGGAAACTTCACCACTGCCCCTCAACCGGGACAGCTGACTTCTCAGGCCCAGGAGCCGGCAGGGGCCCTGGCTTTCCTTCTGCATCACATGCCTGGCAGTGTCCCGCCAAGGACACGGCATCTTGCTGCCGGCCGCCCCCGCCCCCTCTGGCTGCACCCCCCTTCCTGGTGTTCTAAAGCTTGTTCCGCTAAGCCCCCGCTGCCCCAGAAACGGGAGTTTAGCCGGGAGGTCCCACTGGCAGGACTTCTTGCCATGGCCATGGCCAGGCCCCGGCCCGGTTGCTCCCCCAACCCAACGCCTCTTGCCGGAAGAGATACAGGCACAGCCCTAGAAATCCACCCGGACGGACACGGTGCTCTCAGAAGAGCAGGACTGTTTTCAATGGCTCTCCTTTCCCCTGCGTCCACATGAATGCACTCGCTCATTAGTAAATAGGAGAGGTTTTTTTTTAGAAAAGAAAATTAAAAAAAAAAAATCACCCGGGAGAATCCCCACCACTGAGACAGCCGCCATGGAATCGCTTGCCCCCGCCCCGTGTCTCCTCTCGCTCCCTAACTCTTTCCTCCTTTCCTTCCTGTTCTGAACAAAGCGCAGCTGTGTCTGGGGGCGTGTCTTGCGTCCTTATCTGTGTCCAGCAATAGCACTCTGAAACATTCACGCTTTCCTCCCTGGATTGTTGCATGATAATTATGGGACTAAGGATGATATCAATGTTCTTTTGTGGATGCTTTTAAAATAAGGTGGGGGGGGATCAAAAGCCTCTAGGTGCCCCGGCCCTCCTCCTTGCTCCCCTGCCCCACTGTGGCTGGCTGGAGCATGACCCCCCACCCCCCCGCACCCCCACCACCCAGGAGACCTCAACTGAGTCTGCTTCTGTGGCAGGGTGGAGGAGCCGTGGGTTCGCAGAGCCGGGCTGTCCACGCTGCTGAATGCCAGTGCCCAGGCCTCAGGCCACGTCACCCAAGTAAGGTGAGTCCGGGAGGTGGCACCCAGGGATTCATCATCCAGTCATGGCCCTTGGGACCTTCCCTCCTCTCGACATTGCTCCCTCGTCCTGTGGCGTAGCAGCTGTGCCCCCAAGGTGGCATGCATGAGCGGGCCTCTGTCACAGTGCAGCCACAGTGCCGCAAGGAGGAGCGGCCTGGGATTGTTGTTAAGGCCTGAGACATCTCCCCGGGAGCACACTGGCATTCCAGCCTGTCTGCCCCTGCAGTGGCCACCCAGCCCACAGCTTTGTGGCCTGAGGTGACAGTCGCACTGAGTGGCTGTCAAATGCCTTTGCCGTCTCATGGGCCGACCTCCAGTACCCACTAAGGCCCTGGCTGGCCCAAGCCCATGGCTTTTCTGACCTTCCCTCCTGATCTAGAGAAAGGGTGAGCTCACCCCCACTGGGTGGGGCGGAGGGAACGGTGGCACAGAAGCCCACCCTTCTCCACTCGCTTGCTGCCCGGAGGGCCCCAGGAAGGCCCTGGGAGGGAGGCCATTAATCACCACCCCAACATTGCCCTCAGCCCTTTCCCCAATGAAGGCCCTGAGCACACCCTGTGAAGATAGCCCCCCCACCCCCACCCACTGCTGCACTGTGGTCCTGAGCGCTCCCTCAGTACCTTCCTGAACTTCCCTGGGAGTCCCCTCGAGGCTCTCCATCCGAAAAGGTTCCCCTCTTTCTGGTTTCCTCTTAAAATGGTTGGAAAGGCAAGACTTTGGGTGTCTGCCATCAGGGACCACGGACTTGCTCACCTGGAAGCGGGGCCTCGCTGGGGAGAAGGGGACCCAGGTCTGGCCACCCGCCCGGGCCTCCCACAGCTCCCTCCTTCCTCCCCAGCATCTCGGAGACCCAGCAGCGGCTCTGTGTCCAGCTGGAATTCCCCTGTCCAGGGGAGAAGCCGGAGGCCATGGCCCTCAGGTGGGAGCCAGTAGCCAGAAACCCTGGGGTGGGGCACGGCTGCTTCTGACCAATAGTTCTCACGCCCCAAGTCTCTGCGTGACCTAGGAGGGCTGATGATGTCACCCCAAGAGCCTCAAGCTTCCCCTTGGCCTTTGGCCTGGGGCTGTTTCCTCTGCTCAGCACACTCTCTTCCCACGCCCCTTCTCTCGCCTTCCCCGGCCGACTTCCCCTCAGCCTTCAGGGTGCAGCGCTAATGCCTCAGGGTTTGAGCCCCAGAATGCTGAGACGGATCCCGTCCCCGGTCACTCCCAAGTCATTGCCACTTCTGGCTCTTTGCGACCCCACAGGACAGGGTAGAGCTGCCCCTGCGGGCTTCTGAGACTGTAACTACTGGAGTAGAAAGCCCTGCCTTTCTTCCGAGGAGCGGCTGGTGGTTTCAAACCGCTGACCTCGTAGTTAGCAGCCCGGCTGGAAACCACTAGTCCTCCTGTTTGACTGCTTGGAGTCAGTGTCTCTGGTCCGTGGTCTGCAGGTTTGGAAACGAGAATAAGTCACCCCTTGGGGGTGGCTGCAGCCCCGCAGGACACATTTTGGGAACTAGAGCATGGCTGGATGCCAGCCCTGACCCTCTCCTTAACTGGGTGCCCTGGTACAGTCAGCAACCCGCACAACCGTACTGCTCACCCAGCCTGGGCTCCTCCTCCACAACAGGTCTGGCAACAGAAACCCGGATGAGAGGCCTTTATTTTGGTTAACATCTCGTTGCCCCATTCCCGTAAGCTCCTTTTGGACAGAGGCTGGGTCCCTGCTCTTCAGAGCTGCCCTTCCCTGTCTGCTCCCAGGCTGGCCCCGTGTGACTTTGGGAACCCCCACAGCCTTCCCGTCAGGGTGCCGATGGAGACATATGCCAGGCTGCGGCGGCTCAGGTCAGTTCCCCGGGTCTGGGGCCCTGAGTGCTCTGGCTGGTCAGGTCGGATGGGTGCAGGCAGAGCCAGTTAGGTGAGATGGAGCCAGTACTCGGCTCTGGCATTCCCACTGCTCTGGGCAGCTGAGGAGACCCCTAACGGAGCATGGGGAGCCCTGACTGGCCTATGGGAGCTTCTGGGTGGCCGCCTATCTGTATGTGGCACCTTAGGGTGCCTCCAACCCCGTCAGTCTTCTGGAATATGCTTGGGTCTTTTCAGTTTGTCCCAGGTGAACCTTTCTGATGCCAGCTTCCTGCTGTCCCTCTCGGAGCTGAAGACATTCCGGTAAGCAGACAGCACGCCCGCCTGGCCCGTACACTGCCTGCGGTCCCCTGCCGTGGCCTCTGAGGAATTCTGGGGCCCTGGAGACATGAGGTGGTGGCAAGGAAGCGATTGCCTTTTCAGTACTCTTTCTTGTCTTCCTTCCCCTTTATTTTGTATGTTTTTAACCTTTCATTTGGGGATCACTGCTCCGTAACGGGACAGGTGCACAGGTATGAGAATGTCCTTATGCACCGAGTGCACCCACGCTGGGTCCTTTCCCGTGCATCTCTCGAGTCCTCCCTCCCTGCTCCTTCCCGCTCCCCACTCTCTCCCTTACCTGCCTTCCTCTCTCCTCTCACTCTTTCTGAACCCCTTGAAAGTGAATTACTCCGACTTCCACCAGCTGTCCTTTAGCTCCATCACCTACCCT